AAGCAATGAGCCATAACTCAATATTCAAGATGGTAGGTTGCTTGAGTTAAACATAAGAGTTAGTAAATAAAAAGGATTGTCGTAGGGTGAATTGGCTCAAGATTTTAATGGGAAAAGTAAGTTTTGTGGATAAACGAGTCATGACCCTATCCATCCGAAGGGACGTAGTTATAGGGGCGGAAGGGGTTTATCCGAAGTTCCGAACCAAGGGAGGGGCTAGGTAGGCGGTAGTGGTTCGGTCGAACTCCCTTCGTCCGTAAATTACACTATATATATAAGGTTAAATATTTTTAATGTACATATATTAAATGTTGAATCTCCTTAAATTCGTTAGGTGTTTACTTTTTTTATTTTTTGAATCACTTTAGTAAAAATTTTGCTTTCGTCACTTATCCGAACCCCTTTCACCATAAATCAGTGTATATATAAAGTCCAAAAAGTGTTTATGTAATACAGTCAAATCTCTTTATAACGGTATCTTTTGTTCTGAGTTTTTGACCGCTAAAGTGAAGTGCTATTATAAAGAATATATATTATAAGAAAAATCAGTTTAAAAAAAAAATACTTAACCATTATAATGAAGTAATGTTATAAAGGATAACTGTTATAGAGAAGTCTGACGATCGTAGATGCCGAACTTCCTTGGTGAAGATCCTGTTTTTGTTACTAAATTCCATCCAAAACATTTTCTTCACATATATATAACGTACCAAACTGAAATCCATAACAACACTAACTTAGACGAGAAGAACTGGCAGTTAGTTATTTGTACAGAAGAATCTTTTCTGGTCTATTTGTCCATTTGTTGATCAAATTTCTTGTCATATTCATTTATAATCATCATATACATAAACTTCTGCTCAATCAAACGTTTTCTACGATATGGGTTTGGTACTATTGCTACTCATCATTTTATTTTGTTTTTTTCCATCTGTTTAATTGCTGAGAGGAGGTGACGAAGTAGGGCTAAGTGAAGAAAATGGTTAGTTTCTAAAACGAGAAAAATGCATTCAATATCGTCATTTACTTTGGACATTTGTGGTATTTTTGGTTAGTTTTGAAAAAAACACAATCAAGAGTCTTTGATTTTTCGAAACCCCACACTATCCATCCCCAAATGCATTAACTATCATCATTACAGTTTTGGCCTTTCTAACATGGAAACAAACTGAAAAAATGTTGTTTGGATTTGGGTTACTTCATAAAGATCTATATCAACACTCAAACGTACATGTGACTTAGCGATTAATGAAGTTTAATAAAAATATTATAGGAGACCATAGTTCAAGTTTAATGTAATAGAGATAATAAGACAAGCTATTTTTTTTTTACCTGCCTAAATTTTAGTGTAAAGTTACCTAATACTCGTGCATTGGCGTAGCTCACACGAAAATCTGGGAATCATGCGGAGTTTCAGTTTTTATGGTCCTAAAACGCCAAAAACGAGTAATGGTCATGGCGAGGCGGTGACAATTGTTCCTTAGGTTGTTTTTGATGGTCCGGCAAAATTTTAGGCGATCGGGGTCCGGTGGACCAAACACCAAAAAACGAGTAATGGTCATGGCGAGGCGGTGACTATTGTTCCTTAGATCGTTTTTTATGGTCCAGCAAAATTTTAGGAAGAGGGCTCCCCTCGCCAAAAAATTACATGTGTACAGAAGCGGATACATCCTTATATAGCATTGGGTTCATTTGAACCCAACACTTTTGAAGCGGAGTATAATTTTATGTACAATTTTACTAAAATTATAACAAATAATAGGTCTGCACCCATAATTTTAAAATTATAATAGGCTCAATGCCAAAAATCTTAAAGGTTGAACCCATAGAGTTCAAATTTTGGATCCGCCTCTAATATAAGGTAAAATTTTATTTTATGAGTATATATTAGATGTTGAATCACCTTAGGCTTCTTCACGTCTTTAACTTTTTAATTTTTTGAATATTCCTTTTGATGAAATCCTGCTTTCACTCACTATATTCATGTTGAGGAAATAGCAGATATCCGGTAAAATAATTATTATGCGTGAAAATTAGTTCGGATACCGCCGTTTCGAAAAAAAAAAAATTATTCCATTTTTTTGTTATGTATGATAATGAGAACAAAAAAACCTACTTGTGTTCGAGCATGCCTTAGGTGTGTGTTTTTTAGAACCATCTAATGCGTGGATTTTTGTCAAACTATATTTGGATCTTTTCTTCTTGTTAGCAACAAAATTTCATGATTTGTATCATTTTGTTCTTTGCTGATCTTTGACCACAGCACTATGAAGAAAGTTGTTGTAAATCTTTGGGATTTTACTTCGAGTAAATTCAAGTTAATCAACTTAGTTAAAATAACACGTTTTTATGTTACCTCAATAATCTAGTTAGAGTCATTACCGTCATTATTATGTCTTGTAATTCACAATTTAAAAACATGCTTAGGAGGGTCTATAGGCTACGAGTTTGAAAAAATAAAAATCACTTCCTTCGGTCCATAATAAGTGACCATTTTACCTTTTTATTTTGTTCCAAAATAAGTTTCCATTTACATAATCAAGAAGGAAATTTATTTTATTTTTCAAAATTTGCCTTTATTTACATATTCCAATGTCTCAAGGTATCAATTAATTAAGGTTAATTTTGGTGAATATATTTTTTTTCTAGGAGTTCGTATTTTCTTAATGATTGTGCCAAAGATAAAATAGTCACTTATTGCGAATCGGAGGAAGTAATTGCCTTATCACTATGTAGGATGGAAATTGGAAGGGCATTAGAATTTGAAGAAAGTATTCAAAAGGTGAGTAAGCAAAAATAAGGATATCACATGAAATTGTACTACTATCATTGGAAAAGCATAACGAGTTCGAAATAAGACTCTCAAATTGTCTAATTTTCAGTTTTAATTCGAATACTTGCCCAAAAAATGGACTAATGGGGACAGAACTTAAATAGTGACCTAAAATAGGTCATTTGTGCAAATGTCCCTTAAATCAGCGGGGCATTTGCATCTATACCCGCTTTTTGTGCCACATTTTAACTTGTGCCCGTTTTGTAAAAAAAATTACAAGCGTACCCCCTTTTTAACATAACTTCAGCACACGGGGCTGAAATAGCAAAGGCAATCACACAAAACTTCAGTATTTTAGTAGTCGGGCCTGAAGTTCAACTCTAGAGCTGAAGTTTTATTTTATAAGTTTTTATTTAGTAACCGGAAAACTTCAGCTCTAGAGCTGAAGTTTGCCAGTTATAAAATAAAAACTTCAGCTCTAGAGCTTATTTTATAAGTTTTTGTTTAGTAACCGGGAAACTTCAGCTCTAGAGCTGAAGTTTGCCATTTATAAAATATAAACTTCAGCTCTAGAGCTGAAATTATTTGCACATAGGGATTTGCCTTCCTTTTTTTGGTTTTTCTTTTTCCCTCACCTTTACGTATGCCCTGCAATATCTAGTCTAGTACGCAAACACTGTAAAGTTCCTCCCCAGTTCACATTTCGAAAAAATAAGCTACATACTCTTTATATTAATGTATGAAAATGTACTGTATTTCCGTGCTTAAGATAATCCATTGATAATTTAAATAAATGTGCAGTTGAAACAACACGTAAATTCAAGTGGTCATAAAATAACAGAGGCTTTGATGAGTTTAAGAAGTAAAAACCGTTACAGGTATGGATTCGATGGAATCAGATTNTAGCTTCCCCTATCTCGCATGATAAAGCAAAGAGAAAAGAAAGATAAAGAAGAAAAAAGAAAATGAAGGAGGAGAAGGGGAGGAGAAAGGCAGCTGAAGTTTTTTAACAGGTGGGTACAAGTTAAAAGTTTTAAAAACAATGGGTATAGGTTAAATGGGGGCGACCAAATAGGGCGCCCCGTGCAATTTTTACTAAATCAGCTCGATACACAGATTGTCCAAATCGCGCTATCGTCTCTGAATTTGTGGTACACCGGTCTGAACCTTTTAAATGCAGTTTTGGGCTTTTTCTGGTCTATCTTCGACTTTGAAGCCCAAATTCATGTTGAGCCATGTGATCGATTGGGAAAATAATATTGTATAGCTGCTCGCAAAATAATAGTCGAAAAAATATATTTTTTGTATATATATACATTCTGTATGTTATAAAAAAAAAGTTATACAATTTTCAGAAAATCACTATGTTTTAGTGATTATTAGCTTGCTATAGCTACCATTTACTAAATTACTTCCTATAGCTATATTTTCAGTTGTTATAGACTGTATTCGATGTATTTTTGCTACTGTATTCATGAATACAGTAGCAAAACTCGACGGAAACAGGGGAATCTCAGCTAAGCAGAGAATGTATTCGACTGTATTCGCGAGCTGTATTCGTGAATACAGTAACGGTATTTGCGGGGAAAAAAAGGTCTTTAGTAGTTTAAAAACGGTAAGTGAATCAATTAACGCGATAGACTCCTAATATAATTCAACAAACTCAATTATAACACACAAAATTTGTATTTCCAGTTATAGAAAAAATTCTCAACCGAAAAACACCCCAAAAATAGAGCAATCTTCAGAGATTCAATCCATCATTTCGTTTTTTAGTGGTATCTTTACTAAAATATTTTTTAGTGTTATCTTTACAAATAGATTGTATATTGAAATTATATAAAGGAAAAAGGCCAGATTTGTACCTCTACTTTAGTAAAATATCCACGTTTATACCTAGTTCTACTATCGGTCCAAATATGTCCCTACCGTTAAGAAAGTAGATAAAAATATCCCCAACCCTAACGGCTGTCCACTGTGGCAAGGGACCACCTCAATAAAAAAATGTCACATAATTAAATAATCCACATAATTAACTCTAACTCTATTCTTTTTATTTTACTACTTTTTCTCTTTTTCTTTTCCCTACCATCTGATTCCCTTTCCCTCCCTTAATTATATTATTGAAGACAGAATTAGCAAATCATACTCAAAACTCAGAATAGTCATGCTTGGATCCATATTTTAAGAAGATACACGTAAAACAGAAAATGAAGAAACAAAGCCCTCTTACAAGCACATTAATTTTAATAACTTTATTACATTAGTTGAAAAAGAAGAAAAAATTTCTAGTCTAAGATCACTCTGCAATATTCTGCACAATCTCCATCAGGAACCAACACAATCTGCTTAGCAACGCTTTTTGTCCTGTATGCAACAATAGCTTATTACAATTTATAATAGGCTAAAAAAACAAAGAAATGATAAGGGAAAACATAAGTTTCATTATAATTATTGATCTGATTTTCTCACAAGAACTTCAAGTAAACCACAACAGTTCATCCATGAAGTCTTAGTCTGAGGGGTCACTCCAACAAGTGGCTGCAAAAGTGACAGTAAAAGGAAAAATTGTAAATTCGTTAGTATGCCGTATTATATCAGGAAACAATTAACGAGATTACAGTAGCATAGTAAAGAAGTGCCCCATATAGTTTCCTCCAACAGAGATATAACAAGGAAGAGATTAGTGCTGATTTTTGCCGTGGTTAGTCGACCAGTTGATCTCGTCGGCGCCGGCTACTGCTAATGGAGAGAAAGACCCCTTTTTTGGCGAAATTTTATTACCCACTTAATGGTTGCTTGGTTAATTAATTGTGTAATTTCCGGTAGATTGCAGGCGGATATAGTAGGAGGGAGAGAGAGATAGGTAAGGGGAGAGCAATGGAGAAGAGGGGTTCTGATGGTAGGGAAAAAGAGAGAGAAAAAAGAATAAAAATTTAGAATGAATACAAAATATTAAGAAAGAAAGGTAAGGGGTGGGTTATTTAATTATGTGGCATTTTTTTTATTGAGGTGGTCCCTTGTCACAGTGGACAACCGTTAGGGTTGGGGATATTTTTATCTACTTTCTTAACGGTAGGGACGTATTTGGACCGATAGTAGAACTAGGTATAAACGTGGATATTTTACTAAAGTAGAGGGACAAATCTGGCCTTTTTTCCATTATTTATTTACATTGAATACAGTTAAATACATAAAAATACATCGAATACATGAAGTATAAGAGGTCATCTATAGTGCAAAAATATATGAATACATACTGTAAATACATTTGAATACATATATACATCTGAATACAAAAATTATATTAATTTAAAAAACATTTGAATACATTCATGGAATACATCGAGACAGTGAATACAATGAAATACATGGAATACAACGAGATACATTGAAATACAATGGAAAAAAAGATAGTGAATATAATGAAATACATGGAACACAGCGATATACATTGAAATACAAAGAAAAAAAAGGTAACAGACTCTTCAAGTTCCTCAGCCTCAAACTCCGCCCTCAATCCACCGATATCCATGCCGCCGCCGATTAAATGAAGACAGTTGTTGAAGAAGCACCAATTTAAAGGATCAAACGGAAACTAGAGACTAAACTTCTTCAAATCTCACAAGGCAAACGTGAACAATCAATGCAAAGTCTAAGAAAAATTTAGAATGTGCAACACAACTGTGTGAAAGAAATCGTAGGCCGGCGACACAACATGGAAGGGGGGAAGTGGTCCCCGGCCGGATCTGTCGTTGGCGGAACACAGCCCCTGCTAGGGTTTCTAAAAGCAGGGGAGGTAAAAACCGGGGAAAAAAGAGAAGAAAGAGGAAAGAGAAAGGAGGAGAGAGGGAACAGACAAGGAGAGAGAAAAATATAATACACAACGTATTTAGTGGCTTAAAGATAGGAAGTGACCATATATAGATATTTTGCTATAAAAATTAAAAGGTAGCTATAGGAGATATTTTTTTAAAAGGACATTTATTTACAATAAATAAGGTATCAACCTTGGCTATAGGAGGTAAAATTTCCAATATTATATAATTTTGGGCTATCGAATGTAAATAGTTCTTGACACGTGCTAAAAGTGAAAAAAGCCCAATTCGATTCGTCTTTTTGTATCATCATTTCAGGCCCAGCTTTTGAGCTTTCTGGATTGTGGCCTACATATTATTGTATGGGCTTTTCCAAAACGTTCAGATTCTTGGCCTAAAAGCGCAATCTGCTTAAATTTTGGGCAAAATACGAAATTGACCGGCCGGTCAAAACTAATTGTATTCGCTAACAAAAAAGATATATATATATATATATATATATATATATATATATATATATATATATATATATATATATATATATATATATATATATATATATATATAGTTCTTAATGGGCATTGTAGCCGTAGGCGGGAACTCTTCTTTTTATCTTAGTCTTTGGCCTATAAAATGCAATATAGCCAAACGTAGATTAATCCACTTTTCTCCACATCTAACCTTTATTCAAAATCACCACACAATTACCATATTGCAGCTTTGCAGAGAATTCCTTAAAACCAAAGCAAAAACTTCCCCTGATAACTCATTTGCGTGTTAATTGTGTGTGAAAATAAAATGCACGGAAGACCACGTAAAGCTCCAACAACAGAAGAGCAACAAGCTTCTGCTATCAAAGCTTCCAAATTACGTTCTCTCCAATCCCAATTTCTCCAATTCCATCAGAGATTCGCCGCTGATGGTGGTGGCGGCGGAGAAGCTTTCTAGGAAGAAGAACGATCGACGGAGGAACTGATGAGAGAGAATCCATGAGTTTGTATTCATGGAAAAAACTAGCGTTTGGAAAGAGGGTGGAGAAAAATATGAAAGAATGAGAGAGAAAAATAATACAAAGCTTATTTTATGGCTTAAGGGTAGGAGGTAACCATAAATAGATATTTGGCTATAAAAAATCAAAAGGTAGCTATGGAATATAATTTTTTAAAAGGGTATTTATTTAAAATAAATAAGGTATCAACCTTTGCCATAGGAGGTAACTAATCCATCTTTTTAAATGAAGTTTTGGGCTTTTCTTGTCTATCTTCGACTTTGAAGCCCAAATTCATGTTGAGCCATGTAATATATTGGGAAAATCATATTGTATAGCCGCTCTCAAAATAATAGCGGAAAAAATATATTTTTTGTATATATACATTCTTTATATTATGTAAAAAAATTATACAAATTTTATACAATTTTGGGCTATTGAATGTAAATAGTTCTTGGCACGGGCTAAAAATGAAAAAAGCCCTACTCGATTCTTCTTTTTGTGCATCATCATTTCAGGCCCAAGTTTTGAGCTTTCTGGATTGTCGCCCACATATTATTGTATGGGCTTTTCCAAAACGTTCAGATTCTTGGCCTTAAATCACAATATTCTTCAAATTTCGGGTGAAATACGAAATTGATCGGTCGGTCAAAACTAATTGCTCGCTAGCAAAAAAGGATATATATATATATATATATATATATATATATATATATATATATATATATATATATATACACTTATTTTATCGACTATTATTTATAGAAGGATATAAAATTATAAATATCTCAAAATTTTCACCTCAAGATGCAGTTAGCTCGACTCCAGGTATAGTTCTTAATGGGCATTGTAGCCGCAGGCGAGAACTATTCTTTTTATCTTAGCTTCGGCCTATAAAATGCAATATAGCAAAACGCAGATTAATCCACTTTTCTCCACTTTTCTGCTGGCAAATACATAGAGCCTGTTTGGATTAGCTTAAAAAAAGTAGCTTTCAAGTAAAGTGCTTAAAAATACTTTTTAAGTGCTGGAGCTGGTTTTATAAATAAGCAGTTACGTGTTTGGATAAAAGTGCTGGAGCTGAAAAAAAGCTATTGAAGTGTTTGGTAAACAAGTGTTAGTAAGCATTTTTTCTATTAAAATTACTGAAATATCCTTAAAGTTGTTAAACTTATAAAGAAGCTTATTACTATAATATTTTATTTTAAATAATATAAATACATAATAATTAATATTTTAATTCACTTTTAATTTAAAAAACTAAAAGTAGTATGAAGAAAGCAAACGAAAACTAACCCAATTTCGGTATGAAGAAATCAAACGAAAACAATAATTAATATTTCAAAGAAAATTAGTAAAAAACAAAAAATAGAAAGCAAACAAACGTTACCATCTGAAGAAATATGAAAAGAAAAAGAGTAAAATGAGAAAATAGATGCTACAATTTTGGGAGGAAGAAGACAGCAGCAATTTCAAGTTTGGTACTGAGGGTAATTTTGAGTTTAAGAAAAATTATAAGGGATAAGAATGTAATATCCTTGGTCAAAGCAATATGGCTTTTAAGCCAATCTAAAAAAAGTTGGGTTTACCCTACTTGTTGGTTTTGGCTTTTTTAAAGCAAATTTTAGCTTTTCTTAAGCCATTTTTCTAGTTTCCAAACACTTCAAAAGTTAAAAAGGGCTTAAAAGCTGGTCAAACCAGCTTTTAAGCCCATCCAAACAGGCTCATAGTAATATATACTATTAAGTATGGTCAAACCTTTCTATAATAGCATTACTTTTTCCGAATTTTTTTGGCTGTTATAGCGAAATGCTGTTATAGAGAACATATATTATAACATAGCATAAAAATTAGTTCCATAAAAACTTGATTTTTAGAATAAATAATTACTATACAATGATGTTGTTATAGAGAGATCTGACTATATTAATATTAATATTGACAACATCAATTTAACTGATCACAGCAGGGTTCTTTATAATACAAAGTTTAGTCACAGTGCCAAAATTACAGAGTGGGAGCAAATAATTACACCCTATATATTAAGGTAATTTACAAGCCAAATACTGCCTCTACAATATCTTCATTGTTAATAAACAAAATTAGGCAATCTCTAATGTGGCACTTCATCTGTCACTCTTTAGTATTCAGTAAGCCTCATGCTCTCCCTGTTCCAGAGAATATAGATTTTTATCATTAATTAACCTTATAAACTTGAGTAAGGTAACAAGGTAATGCAAAAAATAAGAATTGGTTAGCTTTTTACTCTAGCATTTTTAAATGTCTCGAAAATACATATTTTTCTTGAGCCGAGAGTCTATCTCATACAACATAGGAGTAAGATTTACATACACCCCACCCTTTGCTGACCCTATTTGTGGGATCATATTGGATATGATATTGCTGTTATTTTGTTTTGATTTCTATATAAAGTAAAATATTTTTGTTGTAGATCAATATGAATACCTTCAAAATCAAACTTCTCCGAGATCAGTTGTATAATGGTCAATACAGTGGATACAAACTTTGAGACCAATGTTTAAATCTTAGCTTAAACAAAAACATTAAATAATTTCGTCCCGTTTGAGCATTAATAGATATAATTATCAAAGCAGGTGGAATATCGAGACCAATGTTTACATCTTAGTTGAAATAAAAACACTAAATAATTTCGTGCCGTTTGAGCATTGATAGATAGAGTTACCAAATACTTGTGCAGGTGGAATATTGAGACCAATGTTTAAATCTTAGCTGAAACAAAAACGCTAAATAATTTTGTCCCGTTTAAGCATTGATAGATAGAATTACCAAATACTTGTGCATGTGAAATATTCCGTGTGTTGGCTCGAACATAACCGTTAAAGAAAAGGAGAAAAAGAAACTTTCTTTGAATAAACTTTAAAGGGATGATTAATCTTCTTGAAAATAATAGGTTCCTACTTTTAAACCCCCACCCCCAAAGAGGCGGAACCAAAATTTCTAACTTATGAATTTTGAATTTCAGAACGACAATCAAGTGCTAATAATTGGGTTCTAAAATTAATTTTTTTATACATATTTAATGAATTTCTTAATACATATACACCATTTATACAAAAGCTACTAGATTCAGGTGAACCCGTATTTGCACTTCTAGCTCCGCTCCACCCCCACCCCCACCCCCACCCCCACCCCACCCCACCCCACCAAGGCAGTAAGATAGTATGAGGTAATTTTAATTTTCTTCAATAAACAACACTGTAATGTAGGACTTGTGAATTGAAGCGTGTGTATATTGATTTGTATATGAAATATTAATTACCACTTACTCCATACCATTAATCAAATCAATCAAGGAGAATTAACCCAAATAATCGCTCACCCAACCGTTTAAACTAAAAATAGCCGATGGAAGTATAATATATGTATAATTTATGTATTAAATGTATATAGTTATGTATAATCATTGGATATGGTTAGAAAAAGTAAACAATAAATATGACCGGCTATTTGTGTAAAGATCCAAACTGACCTTTTTGGAAGCGATGAAATCCACAAATTTCGTCTTGGACTTGCCTTTAGGAGACTTGTTATGGTGCTGTGATTCTCTATATCTCTTGATTATCCTTTCCCTAACAAACTTATCATATATAAAAGCTGCTCCTCTGAACTGTGGTAGAACTAACCATCCCACAAATATCAATTTCACATCATACCATATTGGTATCCTATTATTCCAAATAAATAATAAATCAGTTTTCTCCCCAATAAAAAAAAAAAAATCTCCATATTAACTAGTCTTTCAATTTTTAATTACTTTCTCAATAATTTTAAAAGGGAAGCCTCATAGCAACGGATAAAGTCTCCGTATGATCTAAATGTCACGTGTTCAAATCATGGAATCAGCCACTGATACTTGCATTAGGAAAGACTGGCTACATCACACCCACTTAGGGTGCAGTCTTTTCCCGAATACTGCGTGAACGCGAGATATTTCGCACACAGGCTGCCTTTTTTTTTCCTCAATAATTTTGGAAAAGCTAACTTACCATTCAAGAACTGGTTGAAGGACCATTTCCATGAGTGTAAGAAAAGAATAAAAAATCCAATAAGCAAGCCATTGTTCATCATCTAACTTATCAGTAGTCTCAATTGCTACTACTGATGCATACCTATATAATAAATCACCCAAGAAAGTTAAAAAAAAAATTATCCTGAAAAATGATTCTATAAGAAAAAAGAGGATTTTTTTAACATAAATAATACAATTTAAAATACTTACAAAGGATAGAGCAACATCGTCACTGGCCTGCAATATATAGTTCAAAAACAAAATTTATTAGAAGCAATTTAACTTTATAATTTTCTTTTTGATATACTTTTAATGACATACTTATATAAATACAGAATTATATCATAACTTAGTTTAGGATCATAAATTTCAAAAATCATGCTCAGCCTAACACTACCATATAAAATAAAAGATGAAAGTAATAAAATAGCAAATTAAAGAATCCTATAAATAAATAAACTGTAAAATTTACCCGGCAAGAGTATGAAGATGACACATCAAAGTCCAGAAATAACCCATAATTCCTCTTGAAATTGAGAAGCTTCTGATGAAATGAAAACTTAAAAAAGAAAAGAAAGAAGATTGGAAAGCTTCTTATTTATCAAACCTTAATAAGAAGAAGAAAGACAAAATTAGAATTAGAGTATGATAATTAAAAGAGGACAATATATGTGTACAGCAAGTTAATATAGGAAAATGACAGAAAGACACGTGTCAGTATCTAAGATGGTAGGTCGGTAATAGGTTATTAATTTAACGTAGTGTTCTAGGTTGAGCACCGGCCATAAGACCAAGGTTTAAAAAATAAACAATATTTAATTGATTAATTAAATGTTTAATTGTGTTAAAAGTAGAAACGTTTATATTATCTAGAACTAGTAAATTTGTTCGCGCTTCGCGCGATCATAAAAAATCCTATCAAATATATGAAATAAGTCTTTCTATAATATTCAAATATAAGAATAAAATATTTTCCTTTCAGTTTCAAAGATTAAATTTCAAGTTTTATCCATTTTGCTATTCTAATTTAGTTAAAATAAGTTTCTAATTATTTCACTAAAGAGTTTTTACTCTTCTAGGGAAACTTGATTTTTCTTTATCTATGTGAATGATACTATTTTTTTTTTTCCTTAAAAGACTGATAAACAAAAGAGAAAAAATTCAAGAAATTTGATCTCTTTATGTGTATGTGTAATAAACTTAAAAACATGATTTCTTGTTTTGGATGTTTATGTAGATGTATATAAATATGGAATATCTAATGAATAACGAAAGAAAAATAAAGATAAAACCAGAACCATATCACCATATTAGTGGAATCTGAACCATATGGTCTTTTTTCTCCCTCTTCCTTCTTAATTTCTCCTCCTTTTTCCTCTTCTTTTCTCCCCTATTCTTCCTTTTCACCTTTTCTTGAGCCGAGGGTCTATCGAAAATAGCCTCTTTACCTCTCCAGGTAGGGGTAAGGTCTGCGTACACACTACCCTTCCCAGACCCCACTCATGAGATTATATTGCGTATGTTGTTGTTGTTGTTGAATTCGTTTATCAAATATCAGGATCTCTTCTCTAATTTTTGCCATTGTGTATTCATTTCCTTCACCTTTTAATTCTTGTATTTCATTCATTTTTTCTTTCTTACTCTTTAGTCCTTACGTGTTCGTTTTCAAAATAATAATAGTAACAATGATAATAATCAAATTGTTACAAAATATTTAGTAAATGTGGATGTCCACTACTTCCACTATTTTCACCCATGATGTAAATTACCTCCCACTACTCATCACCATTATGATTGTAACTCCCACACCTCCATAACCCCTCCCCATGATCTTCCCCCATGATCTCAATTGTTAATGCCATGTTTAAGACAATGATTTTATTTTGTAACCTTCATATGTAATAGTATAAATAGAGGCATGAAATGTGAGATGGAATACACTTGAACACTTGATGAAATAAGAAATTTATCTCTTCTTCTCTTATTCTACTTATCTTCTTGTTTTATATTGTTACTTTGAGCTACATTTTTTAACACGTTATCAGCACGAAGTTGAGCTCTTTTCGTTGTTCAGGTATATTTGTTCATTTTTTTTTTCGTTGTATATTTTGATTTCATGATTAGTGTCTTTAATATGCCGTTTTATAATTTCTCACATCTCTAGATATATGTAAAAATTAAAGAATTTTATGTTTCTTTATTTTAAGTTATTTGCATGATTGTCATGTGAAAGTTGCTAATTTTTATGTTAATAGAATTAATTGAGAGAAGATATTTTGTTCTAGTTAACATCAAAGATATACTAATAATTTGAAGAAGAAAAAATAGTATTCTTTTCTATGGAATTATCACTTTAGTGTATATATAGATCACAAATTTGATATTATGTCAATTTTTAAGATTCTTTATGCTATTATCTTAATGATTTATAATTAGTTATCTTCTTTGATAGTTTTTACTATGTCGAATTTGTCAAAGCTTGAGTTTGTGGCACTTGACATTTCTGGAAAGAATTACCTATCATGGGTTCTCGATGCTGAGATTCACTTAGCCGCTAAAGGCCTTGGTAACACCATTACTCAGGGTAATGAGGCATCAAGCCAGGACTAAGCGAAGGCCATGATTTTCCTTCGTCATCATTTGGATGAAGGTTTGAAGGTTGAATATTTAACAGTGAAAGATCCACTTGAATTGTGGACTGGCCTGAAGAAAAGGTATAATCACCTTAAGGCTACGGTATTGCCAAGGGCTCGATATGAGTGGATGCACTTACGGTTGCAAGATTTTAAGACCGTAAGTGAGTATAACTCTGCTGTATTTCGAATAACTTCCCAATTGAAATTATGTGGGGAAGTTATGAATGATCGGGATTTGCTGGAAAAGACTCTTACGACTTTTCATGCCTCAAATATGGTATTACAGCAGCAATACCGTGAAAGGGGTTTTAAAAAGTATTCTGAATTGATCTCATGCCTTCTGGTGGCTGAGCAACATAATACCCTTTTGCTGAAAAATCATGAAGCCCGTCCCACAGGGTCAGCTCCGCTTCCTGAAGTGAATATGGCAGCTAAACGTGATAAGTCTGGAAAAAGACAGAATAATAATCATGGCCATATGAATGTACGTGGGCATGGCAATGGTAAGAGACGATATAATAGTCGTCATCATGGTGGTCATGGCAAACGAGAGAACAATATGGGTTCTCAAAATAATCCTTCAAGAGGCAAAAGCAGTAACTGCCACCGCTGTGGCATGAAAGGTCATTGGAAAACTGAATGCCGTGCACCTAAGCATTTTGTCAGGCTTTATCAAAACTCCATCAAAAGTAAGGCAAATAATGTTGGAGCATCTTCTGCTAATGCCCCAGTGGAGTCACACTTGACCTTTAAAAATAATTTTGAGCCAGGGCCTTCAAACAAAAATGATGACCATGCCGAGGCAAATCTTGCTTTGAATGATGATGATTTTCAAGGCCTCGATGATCTTACTCATTTGGAAGTTGAAGACTTCTTTGGAGATCAAAACTAAAGTTTGATCATTTTACTGGGGAATGCAATTATGTTATTTTTATTTTCAGTGGTTCTTTTTTTGTCTCGTTCTAAAGTTATTTTTTATTTTCAAGTAGTACTTAAGTTGTCTTATGTTGTCGTTAGTGATGTTAGTTTTTTCCGTATTTCTCATTATGTACTTTTTTTTTTTATGAAGAATATAAAATTCCCCAGTCTTCAATTGGATGCAAGATGAGTAATGAAGATTTATGCCTTTTGGATAGTGCTACAACTCACACAATATTAAGAGAAAAGAAATTTTTCTCTTATTTGGTTATGAAAAAGGCTTATGTTAATACAGTATCTGGCAGTACAAAGTTAATTGAGGGCTCTGGAAGAGCGGCCTTATTACTACCTGGAGGAATGATATTAACTATTAATAATGCATTGTATTGTAGTAAGTCTCAAAGAAACTTGTTGAGTTTCAAAGCTATTCGCCAAAATGGCTACCATGTTGAGACCTCTAACGAAGGAAAGGTTGAATACCTTTATATTACTACAATAAAAGCGTGAAAAAAATGTGTGCACGAAAAATTACCCGCATTTTCTTCTGGGTTGTACCACACAAATATTGGTGTGGTTGAATCACATGCCATAATAAACAAAAGGTTTACTACTTCTAACGATTTTATCATTTGGCATGATCGGTTGTGCCATCCCGGTTCTAACATGATGCACAGAATAATAGAGAATTAAAATGGGCACACATTGAAGAATAAGAAGATTCTTCAATTTAAGGAATTTTCTTGTGTTGCTTGTTCTCAAAGAAAATTGGTTATTAAACCATCAGCAGCTAAAGTTGGGATTGAATCCCCTGCATTTCTGGAACGTATACAGGGTGATATATGTGGGCCTATACACCCTCCATGTGGACCATTGAAGTATTTTATGATCTTGATAGACACATATACAAGATGGTCACATGTGTGCTTATTGTCAACTCGTAATATGGCATTTGTGAGATTGTTGGCCCAAATAATAAGGTTAAGAGCACAATTTTCAGATTATGCAATTAAGACAATTCGTCTTGATAATGCTGGTGAATTTACATCTCAAGCCTTTATAGATTATTGTACGGCCACTGGAATAAAAGTTGAGCATCCGGTTGCTCATGTTCATACTCAAAATGGTCTAGCAGAATCATTGATTAAACGACTTCAACTAATAGCTAGACCATTGCTAATGAGGACAAAACTCCCCCTTTCAGTGTGGGGACATGCTATTTTGCATGCAACAACACTTGTGCGCATAAGGCCAACCAGTTATCATAAAGTCTCCCCATTACAGTTGGCTTTTGGTCAGGAGCCAAATATTTTCCATCTATGAATTTTTGGATGTGCAGTATATGTTCCAATTGCTCCACCACAACGCACAAAGATGGGTCCCCAAAGAAGGTTGGGAGTATATGTTGGTTATGAATCTCCTTCTATTATTAAATATTTGGAGCCTATGACAGGAGATTTGTTTACAGCCAGATTTGCTGATTGTCATTTTGATGAATCAGTTTTTCCAACATTAGGGGGAGAAAATAAACAGCTAGAAAATGAGATAGATTGGAACATATTATCTCTATCTCATTTGGATCCTCGTACAAATCAATGTGAACAAGAATTTCAAAAGATTATTTATATGCAAAATGTTGCAAATCAATTGCCAGATGCATTTACTAACCTTCCACGGGTTACTAAATCGCATATTCCAGCTGTAAATGCTCCAATTCGAGTTGATGTACCAGCTGGACAGTATGATGATGCAAATGAGTCTAGGCCACGCCTTAAACGTGGTAGACTAATTGGTTCCAAGAATAAGAATCCCCGAAAAAGGAAAGGAGCAAATGATCAAGTTGATCATAACATAGAGGCAATTGCTCAAGAGGAACATAAGGACATAGCAACTGATAAGACCTCACAGGAGGTTCTAGTACCTGGAAATGATGAAAATGAAGAGATCTCAATAAGTTATGTCTCTACAGGAAAAAGGTGGAACCGAAATAACGTTGTGGTTAATAACAATTTTGCATATAATGTTGCAATTGAAATAATGCAACAAGATGAGGATCTTGAGCCAAAATCTGTCGATGAATGTAGACAGAGAAATGATTGGCCAAAATGGAAAAATGCAATTCAAGCGGAATTGGCTTCACTCGAAAAAGTGAAGTTCGGACCAATAGTCCGAACGCCTGAAGGTGTCAAGCCAGTGGGGTACAAATGGATTTTTGTGCGAAAACGAAATGAGAAAGGTGAAGTCGTAAGATATAAAGCACGACTTGTGGCACAAGGGTTTTCGCAAAGGCCTGGCATTGATTATATGGAGACATATTCTCTTGTGGTAGATGCAATTACCTTCAGGTATCTAATAAATCTAGCAGTCCATGAAAAGCTTGATATGCGATTGATGGACGTTGTCACAGCCTACTTATATGGCTCACTGGATAATGAAATTTTTATGAAAATCCCCGAAGGATTTAAAGTTCCTGAAGCACATAAAAGTTCAAGAGAAACTTGTTCAATAAAGCTTCAGAAATCCTTATACGGATTGAAGCAATCAGGGAGGATGTGGTACAATCGCCTTAGCGAGTATTTGCTAAAGGAAGGGTACAAAAATGATCCTATTTGCCCTTGTGTCTTTATTAAGAGGTCTGGATCTGAATTTGTCATCATAGCTGTGTATGTTGATGACTTGAATATCATTGGCACTTCTAAAGAGCTTCCAAAGGCTATAGAGTGTTTGAAGGAAGAGTTTGAAATGAAAGATCTCGGTAAGACAAAATTTTGTCTTGGCCTACAAATTGAGCATGTACCAAATGGAATTTTTGTCCATCAATCAACATATACTGAAAAGGTTTTAAAGCGATTTTACATGGATAATGCACATCCATTGAGTACCCCAAAGGTTGTGAGATCGCTTGATATAAATAAAGATCCATTTCGGCCTCAAGAAAATGATGAAGAGCTCGTTGGTGATGAAACTCCATATCTTAGTGCAATTGGGGCACTGATGTATCTTGCCAACAATACTCGACCAGATATTGCTTTTGTAGTGAGCTTATTAGCAAGATTCAGCTCCTCCCCAACAAGAAGACATTGGAATGGTGTTAAGCATATATTTAGATATCTTCGGGGAACCATAGATATGGGATTGTTTTATTCTAATGAATTCAAGTCAGAAATGATTGGCTATGCCGATGCAGGTTATTTGTCTGATCCACATAAAGCCCGATCTCAAACAGGCTATTTGTTTACATATGGAGGTACTCATGGCGTTCAATGAAACAAACAATAGCTGCCACATCTTCAAATCATGCTGAGATAATAGCCATTCATGAAGCTAGTCGGGAATGTGTTTGGTTAAGATCAATGACTCAGCATATTCAGGAAATGTGTGGTTTTCTTATGAAAAAGGATAATCCAACAATACTATATGAAGATAATGCTGCTTGTATTGCTCAACTGAAAGGAGGATACATCAAAGGAGACAGAACAAAGCATATTTCACCAAAGTTCTTTTTCACGCATGATCTTCAACAAAATGGTGAAATTAATGTTCAACAGATTCGTTCATGTGAAAATTTGGCTGATCTGTTCACTAAGGCTTTACCAAGCTCAACATTTGAGAAGTTGAGACAGAAGATTGGAATGCGACGTCTTCGAGAAATAAAGTGATATTTTCATGAGGGGGAGTAAGATACGTGCTGTACTTTTTTTTCCTTAGCCTAGGTTTTGTCCCACTGGGTTTTACTGGTAAGGTTTTTAATGAGGCAGCAAATAAAGCGTATTAGAGATATGTGTACTCTTTTTCCTTCACTAAGATTTTTTCCCACAGGGTTTTTTCTTAGTAAGGTTTTAACGAGGCATATTATCTATTTTTTTGGACATCCAAGGGGGAGTGTTACAAAATATTTAGTAAATGTGGATGTCCACTACTCCCATTACTTTCACCCATGATGTAAATTACCTCCCACTACTCATCACCATTATGATTGTAACTCCCACACCTCCATAACCCCTCCCCATGATCTTCCCCCATGATCTCAATTGTTAATGCCATGTTTAAGACAATGATTTTATTTTGTAACCTTCATATGTAATAGTATAAATAGAGGCATGAAATGTGAGATGGAATACACTTGAACACTTGATGAAATAAGAAAGTTATCTCTTCTTCTCTTATTCTACTTATTTTCTTGTTTTATATTGTTACTTTGAGCTACATTTTTTAACACAAATCGACTTTTTACTTTTTGCTTCTCTGGCTAACAAAAATAAAGGGAGGCAATCGAAGAGACGCGAGACATTATAAAGTTAGATAACCTAAGAGATGACACAATAAAGATATGTAACAAAAGAGCCTCAAATTAATGAATTGATTTTTTAAATAAAACTAAAAATAAGAATAAAAGAGCAAGAAAAATAAGAATCTTGGTGAAAGCATTTGTACTTTTGCCAACCCATAATAAACTGGACTTCCTTCCACATTCAAGAAAGTTTTCGGCTCTTTGCATCTGCAGATTTGGATAGCATAACCCAGAAAATTCATTCAAATAGAGGGATATGGAATAACTCAACCAAAATATGTAAAAATTATGGTTAAATTTTTTTACATTATTATAGATTTTTAAACCTTTTGTACTTACATAAGATTATTGAAACGATAATCAGCACATAATTAAAAAAAATTAATTTTTGCTGTTTATTTTTAAAAAAATAGTGAGATACTCGCCCACGACTTAAAACTATTTAACTATGTGGGATTAATAAATCTTTCACAAAATATATAGAAAATCATTTCTTACTATAGTTTCTCAAACCACGCTTCTGTTCCCTTGAACACACAAATGACATCAAGCTCTGACAACTCAAATTTTAAAATAACAAATAAACATGGAAAATGCCAAAAGAATTAGAATTAGTTAACGAACTATAATTGATATGTTATCTAATATCTTCTTAAGTTTCACTTTTATCACGTTAGGGAAAATAA